CACCACAATAGGCTTGTAGATTTTATTATTGTACTTTGTTAATTTATGTGTACATTTTGAATATTATATATATATATATATATATATTGGATAATTTGACCACTATTTTTCATATGTAATTTTATTTTGAATATGTCAATTTAAATTAAAGTAATTTTAAAAAATAAAATCATACAATTAAATTAAATTTAAAAGATTAATATAATGAAATTGATATAAGAGAAATAATAAAACAAAATGTCAAAAACCTTGCGCGACAAAATATTTTGTCGCGCAAGCTATTAAACTAGTTTATTTTAATTAAAAAAATTTAAAAACAAAAATTTAAAAAAATTGAATATTTCGTCGCGCAAGATTTTCGCGACATTAGGATTCGTCACGCAAAGTGACATTAACGTTTGTCGCACAAAGTAGTTAAGGTTCGTCGTGCAAAGTAGTTAAGGTTCATCGCGCAAAGTAGTAAAAGTTCGTCGCACAAAGTAGTTAATATTCGTCACGCAAAGTAGTTAGGATTCGTCGCGCAAAGGAGTTACGATTCGTCGCTCAAAGTAGCTTTGAGCGACGTTAGTATTTGTCGCGCAAAGTACTTAGCGTTCGTCGCGCAAAGCAACTCTGCGCAACGAAGAATATTTTTCGTCGCGCAAGCTTCACGAGAGTTGCGCGACAGAACTTGTGCGACCAAAATTTCGTCGCGCAAAGTTTGTGCGATGAAATTGTACTTTGCACAACAAACTTATTTCGTCGCGCAAAGTGTTTTTTGTAGTAGTGCGTCATACCATAAAATGGAGGGAGATGTTTTTCAAGCTAAAATTAGAAAAACAAATTTCGTCAAGTGAAGTTAATGTTGAGAAAATCAAGCTATTCAAATCAAAGGAGTTGGAGAACCACTGACAATTTCAATAATAATAGAATTCTTGGCCAAGGAGGCCAAGGTACAGTTTACAAAGGCATGCTGACTGATGGAAGAATTGTTGCTGTGAAAAAATCTAAAATAGTGGACGAAAGCCAATTTTCAGATTTCATTAATGAGGTTGTGATTCTTTCACAAATCAACCACAGAAATGTGGTTCAACTATTGGGTTGCTGTTTAGAGACGGAGGTTCCCATTTTGGTTTATGAATTTATACCTAATGGAAACCTTTCCCAGTATATCCATGAGCAGAATGAGGAGTTTCCACTTACATGGGAAGTTCGCTTACGAATTGCCAAGGAAATTGCAGGAGCTCTTTCCTATTTACATGCTTCAGCTGCCTTTCCCATTTATCACAGAGACATCAAGTCTACCAACATACTCTTGGATGCAAAATTCAGAGCAAAAGTTGCTGACTTCGGAACTTCAAGATCAGTTGCCATTGACCCACTTGTGCATGGCACATTTGGTTACTTTGATCCAGAATACTTCTAATCAAGCCAATTTATGGATAAAAGTGATGTGTATAGCTTTGGAGTGGTCCTTGTTGAGCTTCTGACTGGACAAAAACCAATTTCTTGTAACAGGTCACAAGAAGAGTGCAAAAGTCTTGCCACGTACTTCATTATTTCGATGCAGTCAGATCGCCTGTTTGAAATTCTTGATGCTGAAGTAGTAAAAGGAGGGTCTAAAGCATTTGTTAGGACTGACTCGATTGAGCCTTGGGATGTTGCTTCAAGTTCAACGGGAACAGGGCCAGTTTTGGATGGTGGTCCTTCTTCATCATGACATGAAATTCCGCTATTACCTTACAAGTCATGGTGAACAATAATTAAATATTTCTTAATTGTAATATTGTAATGCATGTTCCATAAATGTTATGTTTTGCTTCTTTTCTGAACTTTTCCGATCAGAATGTGAGTGCAGTTTCAACTTCCAATCCAGAAGGTCTGGCTTTAGGGTTTAGGGAAGACTTGAATTTTATTTTATTTTTGGACAGTACTGTATGTTTTGTAATTCGTAATATTCACGTCCACAATAATTGACTGAGCATATATGTGGACATTACTATGAACTCAACTGCATTTCCTTTTGTGAGTGACTCTTAAGTCAAGTAGCTAGTAAACTGCATTATCTTTTCATGAATTTATATTTTGTGGTACCTAGAAAAGAGTAGGAAACACTTGAATTCTCTATTACCAGAGATAGACAATCATGACAGCTCTACACATACATGAAATTGGCACTTAGGTGACGAGGGGTAAATTAAATGACACAAACACAACCACAACAAGCTTCACACACTTTAGTCCTTGACCAAAACACTTATGACTAGTCAACTGCTAGTCATGAACAACCACAATCAAGAATCCACACAGAGCATGCCACAATGTACCTGCAACCCTAGAAAAATACTAGTGACAACCTAGGCACTCACACTACTACAAAAAGAGCAAAAGACGACCAGTAAACAACGACGGTAGATCAAAAAACCGTCGTTGTTTTTTAAAAGACGACGGTAATAGAAACCCGTCGTAGAAACATACTTTAAACACCTAAAAAACGGCACACGTATAGATATTTTGAAACAACGACGCACCAAATTAAAAAAGCGTCGTCTTATTACAAAGGTATTTTCAGAGTTAAAATCTGAACCTAAAAACAACGACTGCATCTATGAAATCACCGCCG